CCCGGACGCCAGCCCTCCCTCCCGGAGGAAGCCCCCGGGGAACTCCCCGCGGGCCAGTCCGCAGGCACCACCCAAGAAACGCAGCGATGGAACCATCGCCTGCACCCCTTCCCCGTCCTCTGCCTCCGGTGACGGCCACTTGAACCCGACGCGGGGCCCGGGACGCTCTGGCCCCGCCCCCAGGCGAGAACCAATGAGCCGCGCTCTTTTTACCTCACGTGGGAACGACGCCGATGGCCAATGGGAGCGCGCGGCGGAGGGTGAAGGGCAGGCTAGCGTCGTCGACGCACGGACGTACGGCCGCTCGCTCGCTCCCTGCGACGCCGTGAGTAGAGCAATTTAGGCCCCGCGCGGGGCGGGACTAGGGTGGTGGTCACGCTCTGCCCTTTCCCTGTCCCTGAGCTGGGCTGACTGAAAATCTGGCGCGGTTTAGACTTTCACTGCCAAGCGGACTGTGGTCAAGGAGAAAGCCTGGGCTTGTTGCAGTGGAAACGCTCTTCCCTGCGGGCCAGCGGCCTTCCGGTCCCCCAGCCCTGTGCTCCCGACCGCACTGCGGCCCCTTAGGGGGCTCCGGGCGGAGCCTTGCGATCAGTTATCGATGCATCTTGTAAATACCGGGCGCCTGCTCTTCTGAGGCAGGCACTGGGTCTTGGTGAACCAGGCTGCGTAGCCTCTGCCATCAGTCTGGGACCTTTTCGTAAACATTGGGCCGAGAGACTCTCCGGCTTCTTCACCCCGGCTTGCTTGCCTGTCAGATGAAGGTGGGCTGTGGTGGGCTCTTTTCTCTGAAGGACCTGGTAACTCGGATTATGTGACTCTTTCACCGTGCCGACACAAAACCTAATTTATTTGCTTCGTGTCGGTTTTTAATATTTAGCGGAACCAGAGCTAAACCAAAATGATAAAACTTTACAGCTGGAAGTACTTGTCTTTTTGAATCTTGGTTCCAGTCGTTTGTCACCACTGCCTTGGACTCTCCTCTGTGAACTAGGGCCGTTAAGCCAGATTACCTTCAGAGGTTGATCACAGTGAAGTGTTAGGTAAATAACAGTTTTTATTATGTTTAGGTGTTTTTACCACAATGACAGTAGTATGTATTTTTTCTTTACCTACCAGGTGGAGGGGAGAGTAGAACATTATCTGCTTCTTCCATCACGATGAAAAAAATGGTTCTTGTTTTTGTCTCACACACACACACACACACACACACACACACACACACACACACACACTCTCACACACTCACTCACTCACTGCATACCGGGGACTGAACCCAGGGCCTTCTCACTGAGCTACATCCTAACCTTTAAAAAAACAAAAAAACCGGGGTCTCACTAAATTGCTAAATTGGCCTGGTTAGACCCCATCTTGTAGTTCTCTTTCCCGAGGCTCCCATAGTGCTGGGATTACAGGTGTGTGACACCATGCCTGGCTAAAAATGGTTATTCTTAAAATTCAACATTTTATGTTGACATAATTGTAGATTCCCATACAGTTGTGAGTTTCTGTGTACCCTTTGTCCATCTCCCCTAGTGATGACTTCTAAAACTAGAGTGCGGTATTACAACCAGGTGACTGACATTGACACAGACACACTCAGATTTCCGAGTTTATATTGCTGTGTTTGCCTTTAGTTCTGTAAATTATCATGTGTATAGATTCTTGTATCCACCATCGCCCTCAAGGTATCTAGTACAGTTCCATCACAAGAGTCCCTCTAGATCCCCTTTCGTGACCACAACTCCTGTAGCCCTCACATTAATCTTTTCTTCCTTTCTAAATTTTGTCATTTGAAGATTATGTAGTCATACAGTATAATTTTTTTTCCTGGGTTCTAGGGATCAAACTCAGGACCTTGGGCTGGCTTGCAAGACAGTCATGGTGCCTCTGAGCTAGATCCCAGGCCCTGTAATTCTTGACTATTGGTGTTTTGCATTTTAATGTAATTCCTTGAGATTCATCCAAATCGTTGCGTGTATCGATAGTTTGTTTCTTTTTATTTCTGGGTAGCATTCCATAATCATAATGTGCTACTGTTTGTTTAACCATCTGCTCATTAAAAGCCACCCAAGTTGTTCCAGCTTTTAGGTGTTAAAAATTAAGCGGTTTTGAACATTAGTGTACATCTTCTTGTGTGAACATGCTTTTCTTTCTCTAAGTGTTCAGGAGTCCAATTACTGGGTCATCTGCTAAGCTCGTGTTTCCAGGATGGCTGAATTATTTTACATACCTACCAGCAATGTTTGATCCAGTTTTTCCTCCTGCATTAGGTTTTATCACTAATGGTTTATTTCAACTATTTTGATAGGCACATCCTAAAGAGGTGGGTTTTTTGTTTTTGTTTTTGTTTTTTTTTTTAGTGTGCACAAGATAGAGTTGATTTAATAGTAGGTTGAATACAAAATAATATACAGTGCTCTCAGGGTCTGTGACCAGAGTACTGTGGGCCAGATGGGCCCATAGTATTTTTTTAATTGATGAGTGATTTTTTTAGCATATTTCTTAGTTTAGCAAGGGTAAAAGAACAAACTCATTACACAGGTTCTTTTCGTACAGTTTTCTTCCATTGCCCACCCCCCTTCCCAGGGCTTGTAGAGTGGTTTGTTTGAATCAAGTAACAAATCAAGAGCTGGTCTTGTATTCATATGTACTGTAATGTCTGGGGCAAGAGGCATCTGTATTCTTGACATGATTTACCTCAGTTGGGAACTCAGGTTCACCTTCCTCCATTTTAGGCCAAAATCTAGGAGTGTGTTCAATGAGTGCCACTTGTTGGCTTAAGAATGGCTTTTTTTTTAGAAACTTTGCTTCCAATCCATAATGAATTGCTCTGTTATTCTATTTCACTTGAATGAATCTACATACCTGAAGAATAAGAGGTAGAATCAACAGTGGGTGATTTTGTGGTGGGATAGGGTTGTGATTAGGGAAAAGCCTCCCACTTCTCTCTCCACACTAGCTCAAGAACTAGTTCAATCTTTGAGCCCTGACTTAGGCATCACTTTGAATAGCCCACTCGATAATTGCATTTAATATGTAACTTTGATAGCTCTTGGCTTTTTTTTTTTTGGTACCGCGGATTGAACTTGGGTCCTTGCGCTTGCAAGGTAGGCCACCGAACTGCTGAGCTAAATCCCTTGCCCTTATAGCTCTTGGTTTTAAAAAATTCACTCAAACCTACTCAAATGAATATGAGTATAAATATGTCCCATTTTGAATAATACGTTAAGAGGTTTTGCCTTGTCTAAGTCATTCAGGACCTTGAGTAGTAATGGTAGCTTTTGAAATTATGGTTAGAAACTTATACCTCTAAACCAAATTCTAATAGTAAGAAGCTTGGTGGGTTTTTTTTCTTCCATGATTTTAGTTCCTGGATTATTTATTTCACCATTCATTTAGTAATGATTATTTTAAAATTTACTTTTAATTGCTTTCTCTTCTTAGAGCCAAATTCACTATTTTACCACTAGAGGTCTCCCCTTTCCCTGAAGAAAGCATTCCCTGGGTAGGAGGGGAGACTCAAAAAAATACATTTTCCAAATCTCGGCAAAGTTGCAGTTGAGAATGTAAAAACCTGCTCTTTTCAACCTTCATTGCCAAGTATAAATTTAGTATTTTATCTTAAATATCTAGTGGCTTTAGAGATCATGGCTGGGATAAATTTGGCTTTCCCTGTAGACTGAATTATAAAATGGGCCGCAATGATACAAGTAGAAGTATTCAGCTTTCAAGACAATGCTGTTTCACCTACTTAATATTTTCTTCGTTTTGACTTTTATCCATGGATATATGCCAGTCATAGAAGACAATTCACATATTTATTAAACTTTTGCATTATATTGAGAAAATTTCAAAGGAATAAGATGTGATCTTTGCGCTTCCTTTTGCCCCAACTACTTTTTTCTTCCTAATTTAGAACTCTTGGGTCATATTTTAATACATCTCAAAAGACACCTTCGGTATGAAGCCTCACTCCCGTTTCTAGGCTCTCATCGCAGCTGTTCACATCTCGAATAAGATGTCACTTTGGACATCATTCATCGGTTTGCACGTCATCTGCTTTCTTTGTTACACTGTACATTTTCGAGGACAGGAGCCAGGCCTCTTTAGCTCTGCCTCTTTCTCCTCTGTTGTTGTTTTAGCTTCCCGTTGTTTCTTTTGCACTAATAATAGCAGATATTCAGCAACCATTTATTAAGTGAATATGAGTAGATGGACGTGGATTTTGAGTAAGTTCTGAGATTGGGTAAGAGTTCCACTGACAGGGTTGGGTTCAATAAAGAGCCACCTGAACAGAAGCTGGGAAAAATCCAGACTTGCAAATGAGGCTGGTGACCAATGGAGTTAGTACAGGTAGGCATAGGTGGAGAGAGCTTCAGCAGAAAGCTGAGAGGAGGGAGCAGGACAGGAGTTTGTAGTAATGAAAACAGTGGTGATGGAAAGGGGACGAGGCTGGCAAGGATAAACAGCTTGGTGGCGAAATGTGTATCTAATACATCCAAGGTGCTGGGTTCCATCCCCAGCACTGGGAAGAGGAGAGAGAGGGAGGGAGGGAATAAAGAGTAGGGGAAAGAAAGGAAGGATAGAGGGCAGTAAGTGATTCCCAGACTCTGTGCTCAGGCTTCCTCTCTCACTGTTGCACTACCTCAGTGTCCTCGCTGACTTCCTCAGCTCTGAGTGGTTCGCTCTTAGGCATCTTTCTAGTCCTCTTCTTTCTCTTGAGTTCTAGAACCATCCAGTGATTGAGGAATGGGCCCTGGACTGTGGGAGAGAGCAGTGGGTTCAAGTTTCAGCACTGACACCAATTAGCTGGGAGACATTGAGCAAGACCCTTTAAATGCCTGTATTAATGCCCCACCTTGTTCCAGAAAGGATTTTGGGTGTCAGCAAGTTACTTAATATCTGGGCTTCACTTTCCTCATCTCTGAGTCTGGGAGATCTGAGTTCCTTGCAGCTCTAACACTTTGTGACTGTTGATTAAAAAAAAATTTTTTTTTTGGTCATCTCCATTTAGGAGTCCTACCAGCTCTTTATATTTAGAAACTGAAAAACTGAAAGAGAAACAATAAAAAAACTGAGCCAACAACCTGTTCTACTGAGCCAACAACCTGTTCTGCTGTTCTTCTGTCAGTGACATTGCTATCACACCTGTGACCCAGCCCCAAAACTTAGCTTCAACTCCTCTAGCCTTTCTCACTTACTGAGCTGTATGGACTCTTAACTCTGTCATGTCCTTTCCTTCTTTCTCTGACTAGGCCCTTTCCCGCAGCCACATGTGGTTTAAGGCCATCGTTCCTTTGCTGGCTGTTTCTCTCCCTTTCTGTTGACCCTCCCATTTTTTAAGACAGGGTGGTCTCACTGCATCACCCAGGCCAGCATCAAATTTTTGGACTCACCAAACTATCTTCCTTCCACCATGCTTGGCTTCACCCTCAGTCCTCATGCTGCTGTCTGAGTACATTCCCTGGAGCACAGCTGCAACAATGCCAGTGCTCTGTTCTAAAACCTCAGTGACTCCCAACTGCCTTGAGAGTATTGTCCAAATTCCTTGGCAGGACATGCAAGGCCCTTGTCCGCATCTTCTCATGACTCCTGTCTGCCAGCCAAACATGTACAATGTGCCTCAGATTTTCCTGCCTTGGCTATTAACCTAGCATAACTTTTCCTGGCATCTTTGTTGAAATCCTCTCTGTCCTTATTGTAACACTTTTGAGGCTTTGTCATCCTGTCATTTAACTATTTGGTAACTGGTCTTGGGCCACTCCATCTCCCATTAAATTGTTAGTTCTCAAAGGCAGAGGTGATGTTTCATTCATCGTTGTTCCCCTACACATCTAGCATGCTACTAGAGAAATTTGAATTGAGATAAATCATATTCAGACTTAGTCCAAAAATCACTTTCTCTGCTCATGCTTAGAGATTATCACAGCTGGAAATCATCTGAGCAAATCTAAGGGAGAAAACCCAGGATCAGAATAGTGGAGTTACCTGGCCAGACTTTTCCCAGCTGCCTTTGTAGTTATTTGTTCTGCTCTGGTGAACCTGAGAGCAAATTATCATCAGTAGAACTTTCATGATTCCTCTCCCTTTCTGGATGTAAGCATGTCAGCACATCACTTTCTGGGTCGTTACGGCTTGTCATTTTGATACTGGAAATAGGTTAGGAGTGTAACTGGTTTGAGCAAATTTGTAGGTCCACTGCCTGAACAGACACTAGGTGGCAACAGTGCAACTCCAGTTGGGGTTTGAACAATGGAACTAAATGCTGGAAGGAGCCTTGGACATTGGAGTGCAAGCCCTCCTGTTTGCAAGAAAAAGACAAACAGAAAAACCAAGAACTAGAGACAGGAGTGACTTAATCAGTCATTGCTGAGAGGCAAGTGAATCATCAGTTCTTTTGGCACAAAAGCATCGACCGTGAAGTTGTGGAGTTAAGTTGCTGTTGCTATATGTATGGGACTCTGGCTGCCAGCTGATGATCTAATGTGAGCACTGTTTTGTGTGTCTAGATCAAATGATGCTGTTTGGAAAAATTTCCCAGCAGTTGTGTGGCTTAAAGAAACTCCCATGGTCATGTGATTCCAGATACTTCTGGGGCTGGCTGAATACAGTGTTTAATAAGTAAGTTACTCTAACTAAAATAAAGAAATGTGGGGATGATTATGGCTAGATGAGCTTCCAAAGACAAGTTTGGTTATTATATTTAAAAAAATTTAACAATGTATACAAAATGATCCTAACTTTGTTTACAGGCAAAACATACACACAGAAAAAGGGATCAGAAAAATAGAATACACAATATTAACTGTGGCTGTCTAGGTTGCAGTATCTTGGTGATTTTTCTTATTGGTCATTTTAAAAATTTTATTTTGTTTTGGTACCAGGGGTCGAACCCGGGACCTTGTGCTTGCGAGGCAGGCAGTGGAACCATTAAGCTAAACTCCTCCCCAGCCCTCTTATTGATTGTTTTGATGCCTTTGGGTTTTAAAAATGATTACTATTTTATGATCAGAAAAACTTAGTAATTTCAAAACTATTTTATTCTCTTGCTTCTTGAGGAGTGTTGTTAGGCTTTTGACTACTACTGAGAAAACAAGTTTTTAAAAATGAATGAGTGACATGCTTAGAAATACCATTTTAAAACAGATGTTACTAACCTCATTGCTTAATAAGCGTTATGATTTCTAACTTAGAGAAAAAGGCATGTGTAGAAATTAATAAATATCACTTGAGATAAGTTTGAAAATGACTTGACAGAGATTACCTGGAAACAGAAACGAAAAGCAGTAGAGCTATAGTTGTTTGCATTTTCATGGATCTCAATACATTTATCTCCCTCCTCAGTCATTTGGAGTGAAGGCTTGTTGCTGTTCTGTATTTGTAGTAGTGAGTACATTTTCAAAGCCAGTGGCTACGGTAAAAGGGAACTGCTGCTGTTCTCTTGCCAACAGAGTGGATTATGAACGCATCCGGGCTGTTGGCCCTGACAGAGCGGCTTCTGAGTGGCTGCTGCGCTGTGGGGCCACAGTCCGTTACTGTGGCCAGGAGAGGTGGCAGAAGGACTACAACCACCTCCCAACAGGCCCCCTGGACAAATACAAGATTCAAGCGATCGATGCGACAGACTCTTGTATCATGAACATTGGATTTGATCACATGGGTAACTACCCTGTCGTTTGCTTACAGAAAGTGCAGGTGATTCACAATGACCAGTGTCTTGTCATTATGATTACTGTCGTAAGTGGGTCCTTTTCACCTGTTGCAGCATAATCACTTTACTTTTTTCCGGTTTGGTATTTATTTTCAGTGTACATAGAGGATACAAATACCTTCTTCCCTTATTAAACTTGCTTCTACTTTCCTTTATTGACTTAAAATTCAAAGCTTTGTCAAACTATCTATTTTAAACTGCAGCCACTGAGAAGCCCTCAGTACTGTACAGCTAGTTCTACCCACATAGCTTCTGCTTATGTGGGCATTTCTTTCTGTCAGTGCATGGCATCTGACAGTCCAGGGGCCTCGTCCAGGCCCACCTGCGTGGTGAATGCCTTGGATGGTTAGTAGGGTGAGCAGGACTTTCACTCCCAAAGCCAGGATAGTCTTGGGCAAACCGAGACAGTCATCTTAATGGCAAAGCAGATTCTTTTTTTTTTTTTGGTACCGGGGATTGAACTCGGGTCCTTGCGTTTGCAAGGCAGGCCACCAAACCGCTGAGCTAAATCCCGGGCCCCAAAGCAGATTCTTTTTTTTTTTTTGGTACCGGGGATTGAACTCGGGTCCTTGCGTTTGCAAGGCAGGCCACCAAACCGCTGAGCTAAATCCCGGGCCCCAAAGCAGATTCTTAAACTGTACTTTTTTTCCCCCCTAGAGGGCCTAGAACATGTTGAAAAAATAAGATTATGCAAGTGCCATTATATCGAGGATACATGTTTGGAGAGGCTTGGTCAACTTGAAAAATTACAGAAAAGCCTATTGGAAATGGAAATAATTTCCTGTGGGAATGTCACAGACAAGGGCATCATTGCTTTGCGTCATTTAAGGTAGGTGGTCAAAGCCAAAATGGAAACTTGGTAATGACAGGTGAATAATCAGAGTTTAAAACATGTGAGGGGTGGTATTCTCTTTCAGTTTTGAAAAATACACTTCAAGAAAATGACTGTGCTCTTATTTTACAGTACTTCAAAATGATCAAACTTAATTTCAGGTTTTATTGTATTTTTAAGGGACATCTTTAAAAAAATTAAACCTACATAAAGCAGCTAGAATGCACGATGCCTGCCACAATAAGCCTTCAAAGAGCCTTAGCTATTATGCTTCCTCTCCATCTTGTAAAGGCACTTCCCCCATGTTTTTGGTATCCTCATGACATTTGGTATATATTAATTAGCATCGAATGTTATAAGTAAATTGCTTTAGGAGGGAAAGTCTTCTAAACAGTCACCTGCCTATCTCTGGACCCCAGAACACTGCCTGCTACTATGATTTACAAAGTTATTTCACATCCCTTTCTGCCAGCAACAGACTGTGCCATTCATTGACTTTCCTAGAGCAGGTTACCCTATCCCAAATGCCAAGAGGTAATACAGGCAAGGAATGCTTAATTCTAAAATTGCAGGAATGGAGTCTTTTACCAGATGATGAAGAAAGTGTGTGTTTAGTCAAATCCCTATTTTAGATATCCTGTCATTCAAATTCTAAACCTAGTTAATGTAGTTCTGCTTTACTATGCAATGGTCTACCAACATCCTCAGTATCACAGGAAATTTGAGAAGTTTTAAACATTAGGCTCCCAAAATATTAGATTGTTCATCTCTTAATACATTGAAGCTTCAAAGCTCCATCTTCTAATAGAAACTTGAGCATCTTTAAGAACTTTCCCAATTTCTTCCCTTTTGGGGGTGATTCAGATTTCATATTTCATGTGGAAAAGAGATCTGTGCTATTTTACATTATTGATGTAATTAAGGGAAATAATAAGTTTTAGTCTGGCTTAGTTCCTGGCATGAATTGCATTTAAAGTAGCACTCTTAGACTACTGCTGTGAAGTCCCTTCTAAGATGTAAGGTGACATAAATACATTCTGTATATAATATTTCCTAAAAGTCAATGAATAGAGTTTTGGTTTTTTTGTTTGTGATACTGGGGATTGAACCCAGGGCCTTCACACTAAGCTGAATGAATCCCCAGCCCTTTTTTATTTTGAGACAAGGGTTCATTTAGATGCCCAGGCTGGCTTTGACCTTGCAATCCTCCTGCCTCAGCCTCTCAAGTAGCTTTGATTACAGGCATGCACCACCTTGCCCAGCTGAATTAATTTTTAAATCTATGAAAGTAAAGGCCAAATTGAAGTGACTTTTTCTTTTTTTGTTTGCAGAAACCTCAAGTATTTGTTGTTAAGTGATCTTCCTGGAATAAGAGAAAAAGAAAATCTTGTCCAAGTTTTTAAGACAACACTGCCTTCTCTTGAATTAAAATTACAATTGAAGTAAAATAATAAAGTTTTATTTCAGTATGAGGATCATTTGAAATTGTTGGTCCTAAAAGCTAGCAAATATCCTACGTAATCATCAATAGAATTGTAACAGTGTGATATCATGGCATTTTAGAAGTGGAGAAAATAATGTAGAAAATAAATGTTCAGACATAACTTGCTAAAGTTACTAAGTTGGAAGTGAGAAATTATGTAATTAAATTATTTTAAGAAAAATGCAAGCTAGGTGGTATTTTAATTTAATGTATTCATTTAATATAAATATATACTGTTATTTCTTGATGTAGCTACTGACTTCGAGTTCTCTAAAATGATTTCACTGTGCAATAGATACTTTGTTTTTTCACAATTTCCATTGTACTTTATTGTAACTTTAGAGTTACTGAAGCATTTATTACAGATGCACAACTATGAAACCATGAACGCTAATCACAGATTCATTGATGGAGTCAATTATGCGGGTGGTGAGAGGCATCCAGGTGTGCATTTTACACTGCTTCCTAGGCTTGCACATGGGTCTCAGGATGCTGCACTCCTGTGTTCTTGGTGGTACATAAGCTTTCCCAGAAGGACCAGTTGTTAATTTGTCTATTTGTTAAGCAAGGGCTAGTGTTTAATTAAAACAGGACATGCATATTTGGCTCAATTCAAACAGTTTCCCGATTGTAGTAGAATAAAGGTAGCAATCATCAGACCACCATCTTTACTTGTTTTTTTTCTTCAATTAAAATTTTTTGTTTAAAGCTGGGGGTTATGGAACATGCCTATAATCCCAGCACAAAGGGGGCTGAGGCAGGAGGATCACCATGAGTTCAAGGCCAGCCTGAACAATGTGGCAAAAGAAACTAATTTTTCTTCCCTCAATATTCTGGGTGCTACTTCCTATGATATTAAATACAAGTATCGGGGCTGTGGATTTAGCTCAGTGGTTCTGCCACCTGCCACGCAAACAGTGTCCTGAATTCGGTCCCCCAGTACCAAAAAAACAAAACAAAACAAGTATAAACACAAAACTCAAATTATGTCTAGAAAACAGTAATAAAACATGACAAATAAATAAAAACAAGTCTTTATTTTGACATACTTGAAACAATTCTGATTTTATTATTGGCTATATGCTGATTTATTTGTGGATTTCTGTACATTTGGTTTTTAACAAACTATTGAAAAAAAACTTTACTGAAAATGAGTTTAAAATAAACATTTTCTGTGATACAGCTTTCAGGCAGAAAAATGAATTTTAGTGATGTTAGAACTAAGCCTATTCACCCATATTTTATGAGGGGAATAAAATGAACCACCTTATGTAAATAATACATAGCATAAATTATATTCTATTTACTGATATAATTACCATTGTCATTTAAAATCAGAAAAATAGTATATAAAAATAAGGATAAGGATGTAGAACAGTTTTGTGTGATACAGTGGTGATCCTGTGCTGCAGGAAAAAGTGACGTGGTTAAATTGAGCACAAGCATAAATTTAATAGCATTAGAGAAAAATGAGCCTTTTTTCACATTGTTTTCATTACTGTGTGATGAGACAACTGATTCTTTAGAACTTAGTCTGGAGCTGCTTTCCTATTCTGGATTGTTTTCTATTAAACTATTGCATGAATCAGGCAGTTACAGTCATCTGCCTCCGTCAAATACATTTTCATGGACTAAGGGAAACGAGAAAAGACTATGTTTTTAACTAGTCACGGAAGTTGGACACCCTTCCATGTCATCTGAATCAAAGCCATCTAGCAGGAATTGAATACCGGGACAAATATTTTACCCACCAACAGGTCTATACTGCACCCATTAGAAAGCCTCAGACTATGGCTGGTGAACCAAGATTACTGAACAGATGACAGTTTAGTGGATCAGTTAGCAGTAAGTGAATGGGGTCAAGTGCTGTCATGAAGAAAATTAACACAGGAAGATAGTGAGAGTGCAGAAAAACTGTGCTGAAGATACCATAAAACACAACGTTGAAAACCATGGCTGAGAACTGCTGGGAAACAGGGCCAGCATGTCAACCAGAAATGGCCTTGAGCTGCAAGGAAGAGATGGGGCTTCATATGGCCTTGTGTGCAAGGGTCAAGTATAAAAAGGGGTTTTGTTTTTAAAACAAGTTTTTGTTTAGGAGCAGTAGACCAAAGCAAAGTAAATTATTTCACATCTCACTGAACAAACTAGGAACCCTCAACACTTACCATTTGTTCTTACTAATTGTATCAGTTAAGGTAGTGTATTACACAACACACATGTATAACTACATGTGTATAACTACACATCTACATACACATACAGACACTGTAGTATAAAAAGACATTTCAGGAAAAATGTCAGCTAACCTAACATCTTGCATGAGTCAAGTAAAAGTTTACAGCCAGTTCCTCTAAAACCCAGGTCACATATGCAGTTCCACCTATAGCTCTGTCTGCGGGTCAGAGGCTGAGCAAGAGAGAACAAAGTCCTGATTACTCCCAAGCTGGCAGACTCAATACCCGTGAAGCCTGTAGGTCTTGTTCTACCCCTTGATCACTTGGTTGGCTGCCAACCTTCATGCCATCATTTGTAAGAGGAGTTGGGTGAACAAGTATAGACATTACAGTAAATATGCCTGCCATGCAAAAATGAGATGCATGATTTACTAAAGGTTAAAACAAAAATGTATATAAGAAATGCATAATCATCAACTCTTAAGCATATTACAGTCTTTCCATGGAATTAACCAGTATGATTTTAGATATGGTCAATTTAGATATTCCAAAAATGTTTTAAAATTTTAAAAAATCAAGAGACAGAGCAAGCAGAAAATGGAATTTTAAACATCTTGATTTCAAGAACTGAAACTGTCCTTCAAGATAAGGCTGAAATAACCCAAGAGGCAAGAGACAGGACTCAAGGCCACACAGTTCCAAGGAAATACATCTGGGTATCATGTGATCCATTTTTCACATGTGGCATCAAATACAATTGAAGCATAAATCTTTTTAACATTATCTAATTTTGCCAGAGGTATGGGCAGTAGATGCGGTTTATATTCTACCCATAGCTCAGCTGCTTCGATAAACCAAAATACAAATGAAATTCCAAACAGATCTTTCCTTTCTATTCTGCACCGCTCATGGAAGACTGGATCTGGAATTTCCCTTCATATATTGCCAAGTGGCCTCCCAGTTATGTTTTCAACACTGTAATTATTTTCAATCAAGTGGGTCAGTTTTATTTTCTTCAAAGTTATTGATCAATTCTTCCTTCTTCATCAATCTCCTAACTCCTTAAATGTTTGGGAAACGGTAGTTAAACTTCATGGTAGTACAGTAGTACTTTTTGTTATCCAAAGCTGGAAGCATTCTGCTGCTAGTTAGCTGAGGTAGATACTGCAACTGCAAATACAAAACACAGAATTAGGTTCAAAACCCTGCCACGCACTTTTTTTTCATTATTCAGAATACATCCCAAGAGAGGCAATAGGGGAACTTTTTCATCATAGAAATTTTCCAGACCTGAAAGAGAATAATGTTTCATTTGGTCTCTGATTTTCCTTTAAAAGGTGTATTTTACATTAAAAAGCAAAAACATACACATTAAAGAGAATTTAGAAAAAAATGAAAAAGTGGAAAATCTACTGTGTTCATATCATTGGGAAAAGGTAAAGATTTACAGGAGTTGGGAGCTTGCTGGGCCTTTATGTAGGCCATTGCCCTGCCTTGTAGCAAAGAATACCGATGCCTACAGGATATGGTGATTTGCTCATTTATTGCCTTAGTTTAAGAGGCAAAGATATTTAGGCTAGGGATGTAGCTCAGTGGTAAAGCACTTGCCTTACAGGTATGTAGGCCCTAGGTTCAAGTCCCAGCATTGGGGCAGAGGTCAAACCTGTTTCCTTTGAGCATACAGAAAACACTTCAATTTATTGTCAATGTCAAATGATAGTAAGGAAAATACAACTTCATTGTCTGTATAGTACTACATGCTATTAGGTCTCTGAAAAGAGGATAATTTTTAGTACATTTAAATCAAACAATTGAATCCTTTAAGGTTTAGGGCCAGGGATTTAGCTCAGTGGTTCTGCTGCCTGCCTCACAAGTGCAAGGACCGGAGTTTGATTCCCAGTACCAAAACAAAACAAAAAAATTGACCCATCTTTTAAGATTTAAAAGCAATATCCTGGATAATGATGGAAGCTAATCTTTCAAGTAAGGCTCTTTCCATCCTCTTTTTGCTCTTTGACCCAAAGTAACAGTGAGATGGGGATAACTGGCCTTGAGAGGGGCGTCTGTTTTTTGCCCTGTTGTGCTATCTGGGTCATATATGATAGAGGATAAAATAAAAACATTCCTAATTTTGTAACTGTGGTCTACCTCAGGGCTCTGGAGTTCATGTAGCACCTATTGCTAATGAATTCTCCCCCACTCTTCTCCAAACCTTACACATACTGCAGAGGTAGCAAATACAAAGACTGAGGTGAGATAATCCAGTACTAAGAAATACTAAATTCAGGCAGATTCAGAAATGACTAGAACGGTTCCTGTGGTTCCTGTGGTTCCTATGGTGCTGTTGTCCATTCTAGATCATTACCGCTTTTGCCTCTGACAAGACAGTGTCAGTAGGCCAGGCTCTCTGAGTCTTGTCTCTTGTCTTTATTCTTATCAGATTGTGTTGTAGTGCCTCATAGGAGACTGCAGACCTACTGCAGGGATCTACAGTACCATCCCTATTCCTGTTCCCTATAAGGCTCCCAAAAAGGGTGCATTATGGATGCTGTTCTTTAGCTTGCTATGCATCCTGCTGAAACTGCTGCAAGCCCTGTGGCTAGGTTTGCCGACCCAACCTTGACAATTAAAGGGTCAGGAAGGAAAAGCATTCCTGTTTGGATAAATCTAGAATGTTAATACTGAAGGTAAACATGATGACAAAGCACTGCTTGGGACAGATCTGGCTTCATTTTCATAAGTGCAAGAAGCACATTCAGCTGGACTCCACTCTACCTGGCTGAGACCTGAGCTCCTGCACGTCGGAAACCCTGGGCCCTGTGTGTCAGCAGAAAACAGCAGGGATTCCAGAGGATTATGATTCAGGAGGAAAAGGCCTCTGATGTCTCTGGGGCTCTAGATGAAGGTCATGGGACCTGACCCCGAGCACCAGAATGAGTGGCTGGAGCTGCAGGCCACAATCACCACCCTCCAGTCTAGAGTCCAACTCTTTCCCAGGTGGCAGGTACGAAATCACTTGAAACTGAAAGCCTGGGTGTATCCATCAAGCAGTGCACCATCTTTACCCCGGGAAGGTGCTTTCGGCTTTGCCTTAGTGTCTTCCTTGTTGGCTTGTCACGTTCTTTTCTCAGCCCTCTTACTTCTCCGATGCTGTCAAAATATGGGTGCTGCAACAGCTGTTCGCATGTCAGCCTTTCACCAGGGTCCATGTGCAGGCAGCCCTGCAAGACAGAACGTTCCTTCTTCCTCAGAACTGTATTCGCTTATTAATCTTATTTTTTTCTTTGAAAGGCTAAACTCCAAAATTTTTCTTTCTTTATATTTTTATTTTGGCAGTGCTGAAGATGGAACTAGGACCTCCTGTATGCTAGACAAGCGCTGTACCTTCAAGCTCACCCCCTAGGCCTTTTAATTATTTTCAAATAATTTCCACCAGGTGTGGTGGTGCAGGCCTGTAATCCCAGTATTTGGGAGGCAGAGGCAGAAGGATTATAGTGAATTTGAGGTCAGTCTGGACAAATAGTGAGCTCAAGGCTAGCCTAAATTACACAGGGAGACTATGTCTAAAAAAAAAGATCATTTCAGTAGTACATAATAATACATAAATCTGGCGTATGAGGGGATAATTCAATACGTGTATATAGTTTATAATGATCAAATCAGGATAATGGCATCTCCATCTCCATAAACATCTACTATTTCTTTGTTTAAGGAACTTTCTAACTCTTCTGGTTCTTTTTCTTGGTACTGGAAATCAAACACAGGACCTTGCACTTGTGAGGCAGGCAGGGTGCCACTGAGCTAAATCCCTGGTCCCTTTTCTGGTTCTTTATAAAATATGTAATAAATTGTTGTTAGCTATACTCACCCTATTGTGTAGAACACTGGAACTTACTCCTCAAATCTAATTGTATTTTTTTTTTCTTTTTTTCTGGTACTGAGAGATCAAATCCAGGGGTTCCCTACCAGTGAACTACATTCCCCTTCCATTTTTCTTTAGTTCTTATTTTTGAGAAAAGCTCTTGCTAAGTTGCTCAAAAAAGACTTGAATTTGAGATCCTTCTGTCTCAGCCTCCATAAGTGCTGAATTTACATCTAACTGCATTTTGGTATCCTTTATCCCCTCCTCCTCCCACCTTCCCAGCCTCTAATGACCACTGTCTACTTGGCTACTTCTGTGAAATCAACTTTTTCAGCTTCCATACATAAGTGGTACTTGTGAAAAACTAAACTCTTCAGGTGAGAATATGAAGGAAAAAGTAGCAAAAGCACACAGTCACACATCCAGTTCCTCCCATAGTCTTCCTAATGGGAGCCACATGATAAATAAACCAAGACTCTTTGGCAGTCACAAAAATTAAGTTTTCTCCACCCTATTCTGGTCTAGAGGCAGCTGGTGCTCTGCTGTGGGGAAGGAGGATTTATTTTAGAGTTTGCCTAGTTGGCCAATTGGGATAATCCATTTAGCCATCTTGGTCACTTTCTGGTACTTGGGAAAAACTAGTGTTTTTATTTAAAAATAATATTCACACGTGGTACAAATGAAGTTCGTATAGTATACACCAAAGTCTCTACCAGTCTAGGTCTTCCATTTCCCTTCTAGAATCAGCTACTTGGGGGAGGGGTGTCTTTCTAGATATATTCTGTGCATTACAAGCACAGATGAGTGTATATGTAAAGGAAGACATAATACATATGCCTTATGTAACATCATTCTTAACCATTTTCTTTGCATTAAGTAGGCCATGAGGTTCATACCTAGAAAGATAAATCTCACAACTACATACTCCAAAGAACTGCCTCAGTTTTTTTTTTACCAGTATAAATACATCAGTAAATGTATTAAGTAATTTTTTAAATGTGTGGGACATGAACTATATAACTTGCAAGTATTTTAACTGGTGCTGTACTGATTTTGTGTAACAGCTACATTTCTAAACATGTATATATAAATCAACTTTTAAAAGCAAAATGTACTGCAAATGAGCTAGGATCCTGGCTATTTAAAGGCTCCTACAGCTATACATATTTTGAAGCTAAGGATCCTTTTAAAACAAACATCGCCCCCTTGAAATTTCTATTTTGCATAAGTTCAGGTTTCAAATACAATGTTAGGTTTATTTAATGTAATACGTGCATTAATTATATTTTCACTACAATAGAATGTGGCCCATTTTAAAAACTGAAAATATTTATGCTTTTCAAAGGAGAAAAATTCTAAACAGAACATTTCATTTTATGGACTAAAATAAGTAATTTAGGTTCTCCAATGCTGTATACTTCTGGGTCTTTTAGAAGACAGGGTTTTACCTTTAAGAGTCCCAGGGCAGGATAAGAGATGTTCGGAAATTTTAACTCCAGTGGTTCCTGTTGAAAGGCAAAAGGGGTTTTTAATTTGCATCATGTTTTCAAATTACTATTACCTGAAATTACATTTCTCTTGGGTAAAACATCTTCCTGGCCTCCTGCAACCCTTCCCACTCCCCCTTGCACTGAAAATGACCTCCTTAGGGCTACGACACAAGCTTCTGCTGTCCCCACCTCCAGGTGGCTTTTCCAAATTTTCTTCCTAACCAGTCCCTTCAATTCCTGAAGAAGGTGGCAAATTGTAAATACTAATGAAAGAAGAAACCAAATTAAAAACACTTGCTGTGCATTGCTACTTCATTTCCCCTCAATTTATATAACTCGCCTATCCTGAAAATAATAAAAAGTTTTTTTGAGTTTTGTACTTATTGACGTTTATATAAAGGGAGTTTCAAATTAGATTTTTTATTTCCCCACACCAGGTAAACAGATGCTTCTTGGATTTCTGCAATAAACAGTTGTCTCCTCTCCTCCCACAAGCGCCCACTGTTTCCCGAACCAGCCACAGTGTAAATGGAGTCTCTGGAGCAGCATTTGCCAACCTGCCCTTGGCTATTTAAAGCTATTGTGCTCCAGTCACATGCTGGAGGCCACCAGGAGTAGCAGTAGAAACGGGGGAACACTGCCCGCTGTCAGGCAGACAAACAGGCCAGTTTTGGAGCCCTCACAGGCAGGAACTAAGAATTCAGAGCAGCCTGCCAGGCTGAGCAGAAGAGAGGACCCCAGTGTGCTGTGTGATAAAGATGCCAGTGTGAGCCCAGCACTGCGGCCATCACCCAGGCTCAGCTAAATGACACAGTCCAGTGCTGCGGGCAGCTGCAGGGCACAGTGTGACTTAGACTGGGAACCAGACCTCAACCACTCTTGATTGTGCACTGACTGACCACTGATGAGAAGACACTCGGGTTTGCCGTTCCCCATATTCAACAGCAGAAAAATCCTAAAGCAAACTTGTCCTTGGCCTTGAGAGTGTCATCTCTCATCCCGACAAGTGAAGTAGCTCTCCGGCCCTTGCTGTATGTTCACTGTGACATCGCTGGGGACTGATGTGACAAGGCTGACAGGCTCTGCTGTCTCAGCAACAATGCTGGGGATGAGGCAGCTATGCAGGGCCCATCCCACCTGCTGAGCCAGTTTCCCAGCTTTGGAGCTGGCCTCCCCGGAGGGCTATGACCCGCACAGGGACTGTGGCACAGATGTTCAGCCACCGCAGCCCCCCACGCTGCGTCTTCCTGTGTTTCTGTCAACAGGAAATCTCCTGCAGGACAGTCTCGGGGATCTATGGGAAGCTTTCTGCATTTATGAAACCAGGGCTGTTTCTGAAGCTTCCCCAGTACACAATTGAACAGGAAATTGCTAAGGGATATTCGGAGCAGAGCTGGGAATGTCCAGGGCACAAGGGAGCCAGCTGGGCCACCTCCCATATACCGGGTGTCATTCCTGCCTTCCAGTCCCAACATGACCCACTTTTCCTACTGCTACTGCTGTGGGAGGGGAGGTGGTGAGGAAGTGGTAGTCGTTGCCGTGGGAGAAGCCCAGAGATAACTGCAAGGGCAAGGGACAGGGAGAACTTCTAGCCAGGACGGAGCAAACCTAGGGTTAGTTTCAATCTGAGAGGACCGTCCTCAGCCACTAGGAACCCTGGATCTCACTGCCCTCAAATATGCTCTGAAATGCTTTATGTGTGCTTGGGATCGAACTTGAAACCTCATGCATTCCGGCGTGAGCGCTAGCACTGAGCTACATCCCCAGCTTATTAGAAGACATTAAAATATATATAAACATATAGCCACAAGGAATGAAAACAGTACCCCAAAAATCTCACCATGAAGAGATACCCACTGTTTATATTTTGGTATATATCCTTGCTTCCATTTATTTATTTATTTTTAATTTTTTTTTTGGTACCGGGGATTGAACTTGGGTCCTTGCACTTATAAGGCAGGTGAAGGAAATGCTGAGCTAAATCCCTGGCCCTCCATTTATTTTTAATAAATGTAAAAGTTTTGCATGACTTCCTGGAAGTTACCGTATTATTTTATGTTTGTATATGTAAATATTTGTAAATTATTAAATATTTATTTCAATTATGTCAAATTATACATACTGTTTTACAACTTTAATTTGGCAATATTTGTGGACTTTTTAAAGATGAATACATATAGATCTCATAATTTCTACTGGCTATGTAATATTTTTAATTACAGACATACCATAATTTAATCCCCTACTGCTGGAACCCTACAGGAAATGATCTCTCTGTTAAATGCTACATCTTTGTGTTCTTTTTGGTACCGGGGATGAACTCAGGACCTTGCCCTTGCAAGGCAGGTGGCGGCACCACTGAGCTAAGTCCCAGGCCCTTTTGTGTTCTTTTCTAATGGTTTAATTGGGACCCACTCCTAGGAGTGGGTTAAGGGTATGAACATGTTAAATTTTTCAGTCCTTTTAAAATGAATTTTCCCGGATGGTGATTTAGTTCAGTGGTTCCTCTGCCTGCATCGCTAAATGCAAGGACCGGAGTTCGATCTGGATACCTTAAAAAAAAAAAAGAAATGAATTTTCCCTCCACATTGGCCACACAACAGTCATCAGAGTGAGGCTGTCCAAATACGTCCACTATGGTTTGCTCATGGTCTGGGGAGTGAATGTGTGGATGATTAGAGAATTTGGAGGACGCCAGGGAAAAGCTTCCTGGGTGGGTCAATGTCTGCATTTGTGTAAAAGTTGACTAGTTCCGAGTTCCCAGGCTCGGCTGATGAGAGTGATAAGGACAGGAGCAGCTAGGGCAGGAGCTCTACATTCCTGTCTGTCAGGCTGGCCACACTCTTATCAGCAGCCTCGAAATTAGCACTGAAGGCCACAGTCTTGCTGCCAATTTGCTCCAATTTTCTTTTTCACTCTGCGATGAAACTTCCAGTGCAGATTAAGCCATGGGGCCTGGAGCAACCGTCTAGCACAACCCAGCTAGCCTGCCCCAGGAGTCCTCTCCGAAATGGCCGGCTCACTCACCATGTCTTCCGGGTCTGGGATTTTCACACCACTGAAGTACTGATTCATGCTGAATACTTGCTGGTGTCTAGGAGTAAGATCCCCTTTGAACAAAAAGAAAGAGGGCAGTAAGGGAGCTTGGCCAGCAAACACTGACCCGTGGCTTTCCTCTGCAGAAGCTGTGTCTGGCTGTGCCTATACCTTACAAGGTGTAGTTTTCTTTAGCAACCAGAAGTGTTCAAGTAACACAGCCCATACTGAGCTCCACCATGGACAACACACTACTAGGTACAGAGCTCATAAGCTCCAGAAACGGAAACCTTTGAGTTTCTTGCCCTCCAGGACTTACAGTGTATTCCAGGAATCCAAATCAAATAACACACACACGCGCACGCGCACACACACACACACACACACACACACACACACACACTAATCCTTTTAAAAAACAACAAAAGTGCAACAGTGTGACCACTGCAAATCAAAACTGTATTAACTGAATCCTGATGAGTGCAGATAAAAATGTACTGGCCTCATACTGAAAGAGAGCCTGACACATAGCAAACAGTAAATATTTAGAAGAAGGAGGGAAGGAAGAGAAGGAGGGAGTTGAGAAAGGAACAGGTCATGGGCAGTTTTCTAGCTAGAAGAAATACATCCCCATACTGGAACCACCTTTACTTGTTTGACCAATTAGCCACTGGTTGGAAATCACATTTCATCTGTTCTGAGGCAATTACAGTGTGGAACACAGAAACAAAAGGAGCATTTCTATATTCCAGGGATCGTGGGAAGCTCACCCCACACATGTTGCAGCTAAAATCGCCCCCGTGTACAATTTTAGGGAGAGTACACCTGAAGTCGTGCTTGGTTCAGAGCCTATAAGGAGATTCCCATGCCCTCCACCAGAGCAGTGGAAAGCAAAACCCCCTGATTGGGGGTCTGTACACGCTGGGGTTCCCAACACAAGGCCATCAAAGTCTAATTCTACTGATTTTAAAACTTTACCTCCCACTTAAAAACAAACAAACAAACAAACTTGCCCCATTTGGGTGAGGTGTCAAGCTATGGCGTCTAACACCTTGCCCAAGGCTCCAGTGGGTAAGCTGGATCATGAACACCATTCCCTGTGCCCTAACAGCCTTTTTCCTTCAGAGCTGAAGGGTGACGCCAGAGGGTGTCCTAGTATCACTGGAGGAAACAGCCAGGGGAGGCTGGGCACTCCGGAAAGGGCCTCAAAGGCCCAGCCTGTGCAGATGCTGGCAGAGGATAAGCAGACACCACACAATCTCACCCTCAGATAGCACACAGCACCCTTGGGAAGATGAAAGGATAGACATGGTGCCGTGGGTGCTGTGAGAGTTTATGGGGAGGGAAAATCCACTTTGAACTGGGATATTTAGGGTGCAGTATCTAAACTCTCTGGCATCTGGAAGGGGCAGTCTCTGCTTGTGCATCTTCTCATCTGTTCCTCACCCTCTATCCCTTCTCCTCCTCTGCCTTTACCATTCCTGTACGGAGTAAGGATATGGGGTGGGGAAGCAGGAGAAGGAAAAACATCAGAAGAACCAGTTTCTCTTCCTGACACATAGAAGACTAAGAATCTTCCTCCACAGAGTCTGGAAGATCCAAACTCATCAGGCAGGCTGGAGGTAAGGACATCCAGACGAAATCTCACATCATAGTACAGGTGGGCCATGCCCAATCTGCAACTCTGAAATCCAAAATGTTCCAAATCTGAACCTTTGACAGCCAATACGACATCACAAGTAGAAGTTCCACACCTGGCCTTATATGGCAGGTTGCAGTCAAAATGCAGGAACACTACAAATACTGTATAAAATTACCTCCAAGATATGTGTATACAGAGTACATGAAACATAAGTGAACTTTATGTCTACACTTGGATCCCTTCCTTAAGGTATCTCATTATGAACATGCAAATTTTCCCAAATCCATAAATTCTAAACTGCAGAAACATTTCTGGTTGCAAGCATTCTGGGTAAGAGATGTTCAACCTGCAAATGAAATAAACCATGATGATATTTCGTCAATTGCTAAGCCCTTGCAGAAATGTAAGTTTCTGTGGTTGCCATGATTATTTTTCAGAGGTCAACTTGATCCATGCTACCCTCAAGAAAGAATCTTACATCTTTTGGACAACTAGTAAATACTAGTAATTGTTAATTATTTTATTAAAACACAAGTGGACACCAGCCATTTCTATGAGGCTTTCAAGTTGCCCTTTCCTAACTGCGAAAGGCCTCAGATGAACTAGAGACTCAGCTCAGGCCTGCACCGATGTGGGTAAAACCAGCCAGCTTCCCAAAAGGTGGGCTGAAAACATTACTTACCCAAGGTTTTCCTGATCAGATAAAGCTGGTCCACATCTGATTTTCCTGGCCAAAGAGGCACTCCTGACAGCAGCTCGGCAAAGACACAGCCAACTGCCCAGACATCTACTGGGGGGCCGTACTGTGTGTCCCCCACCAGCAGTTCCGGAGAGCGGTACCACCTGGTAGCCACATAGTCTGTGTAGTAGTCGCTCGGTCCAGCTGGCCGGTGATGCAACATGGAAAACAGAAAAAGCAGTGGAAGCCTGGAATCCAAACCGGAAATGAAAGGCCTAAGACAAGCTCCGTCCCAACTTGCGGCTTTTCAAAATAACTATTCTCCATCCCGGTTGCATGTCAAAATCACTTGAAATTTAGCATTTTTTAAATGGCTGCCGCTTGGACCACACCCCAGTCCAATTAAATCGGAATCTTTGGAAGGGCTTAGGAGCATCCCTATGGTTTTTGAAAGTTCCCCAGATAATTCTAATTTGCAGCCAAGATTGAAAACTACTTTCTAAAGTAGCACTTCTGAAAAGTATAATTTTAGCAGAAATTGGTAGAAACCAGGAGAGTAATATACTTTTTAATAATCACTTTACTGTGGTATAATTTACATACAGCATACATTTCTAAAACACTGTATGTGTCTACACATTTTCAAATTATAATTACACTACAAAATTCTGTAATTACAGAATTGTAATTTATAGCAAGATTATGCCCTAAATTATAAGAACCAGTTTTCTATAGCATCTAGAACCTTTATTAGATCAAGAACATTTCCATGTTCTACACTTAAAGAACATTTCCCATACTCACTCAAAAGCCGAGCAAATCCAAAGTCACAAAGTTTAATCACTGAATGTTTTGTGATGAGGATATTTTCTGGCTTCACATCTCTATGTATGCACTAGTTGCAAAAATTCAAAACAGAAAGGTTACAGAGGAGCAACTATAAGGCAGAAATAAAACACATGAATATTTAGCAAATATTGGATAAATCATTTGAATCTTTAATTGGCTAGTTGAATAAGAGCAAAACAGCAGCCTAAAACAAATCCAGGACCATACCTATAGCCTGAATCATCCCAAGTCCCAAAGGGGCCAAAAGGATCAAGAAGGGTGAAAGTAGGGTAGCTAGACTTACCAAATACAAATAGAGGACACCCATTTAATTTGAATTTTAGATAAACAATATTTTTTCAGTGCTGGGAATTGAACCCAGGGCCTTGCACGTTAGGCAAATGGTGTACCACTGAGCGCTATATCTCTATGCCCAGGTAAGGTTGAAAGTATAAACACGCAGTATTTGGAACATATCTACCTTTAAAAAGTTTTGCTTGTTTATCTGAACTTCGAATGTAACTGGGAGTCCTGTATTGAGTGTGACAACTATCGGTGAAAGGGAAAAAGTTAAAAGATGAGCCAGGGCTGCATTATCGCTGCAGGAGCTGCTGGTCAGGGCATCAACAGAATTCACAACTGCATTGCTGAACTGAGAAGGGAACAGAGCTGGCCTGGTAAACAGGACAAGCCCTGGGCCTGCTGAGATAAGCTGGGGACAAGAAGGGCGGGAACGAGGAGCGTGCCAAGCCATCTCCCTTCCAGCTCTGACATCTGTCCTGACGAGATAAACAAGAGCCCGGTCCTCCTCTGGGCAGCGTCGCTAGATGTCAGCTCTGTCCCACGACACATCCAGTGAGGCCTCTCAGAGCTGCATCCGCCCCTCAGCTGTGGCTCCTACTCCATAATTTAGACTCGAATCACCTGGCTTCCAGGCCGCAGCCGACATCCCTCAGCAGGGTTATGCTAGAGAGAACGCTGGAGGGTATTCACATGACTTTCTTATGAAATGACGACTTCCTTCGCAAAAAACTCCCAAAGCAACAGCCTAGTAATAATTACATTAAAACCCCAGTTGGGGGCCAGGGATTTAGCTCAGTGGTTCCCCCACCTGCCTAGCAAACACAAGGTCAATCCCTGGTACCAAAACAAAAAAAAAACAAAACAAAAAAAAAAACAAAACCCAAAACCAAACCAAAACAAAAAACCCCAGTTGGGTCACAGCAGTGTTCCGGTTGCTAATAGTTTTCCCTTCTCCCGAGGGGTATCTTTCTGTGACCAGAGGCTTGCTTGGCCTGCACCAGGAAACCCTAGCATTATTCCTGGTTTTCTAGAAAGAAAGAGAGAGAGGACAAAGTTTCTTCTTGGGCCTGGCCAGTTCTCATTCCAAAGGCCCTTCAGGGTGAGAGATCAGCATTAGTGTTTTCCCACAGTATCTTATGGTTCTGGAAAATAGGGGGCAGCAGTGTAAATTGTTTTATTACAATCTATCTGGTTCTCAGCAATTACTGGCTCTTAAGACCTCTACTCTTTCACCACCGGCTTTCAGAATTGCTATAAATGGGTACATCCATGAATATCCTGATGACACATGGTCAGAAGCGCTTGTAAGCAAGAATGCGCTCCCGCTCTGCTCTGGGAATTCCTCGCAAGTTTCCGCACCCTCCCCCATCCGCACACGGAGCCAAGAGAGCATCTGGCGCTCTCCAGGGAACTGCGGTCTGCCTCACATTTGTCTTCAGGGCTCAGATCCTCCCCACCAGGCTCGCTCTCAGGACAGTGCCCACCATCACTGTCAGGGAGTAGAGACAGAAAGCGGCCACTCTGAACTGCTGTATGATGGTGCTCGCTTTTTTTGGCGGGGGGTGGCTGTTCATTTTTGTAGAATGGTGGGGATTGAACCCAGGGCTTCACACATGTAAGGCAAAGGCTCTACAACAGGCTACACCCACAGGCCTGACAAAGATTATAGCATTTAGCCAACAGAGGGTAAGAAGAGGTTCTGGCTACTTCCGCATTTTCTCCTTGTGGGAACACAGCTTCAGGGGAAAAAAAATCATTTGAAATAGAGTACAAGGCAGGGGATTCGTTCAGCCCCCAGCTCCACAGAGCCTGGCAGTTAGTGAAGCGACAGATCGAACTGCAATCATGGCCAAATGAAGCTCTAGCATTGGAATCTGGGTTTGTTTGATTTGGTTTTGGTGTTGGGGACTTAGAAACTTTTATTTTTGGCACTGGGGATGGAACTCTAGTCCTTGCGCTTGTGAGGCAGGTGGTGGAACCACTGAGCTAAAAACCCTGGGCCCTAGAAATTGTTTTGTTTTGTTTTCTGCAGTGCTGGGGCTTGAACCTGGGACCTTGTACATGCTAAGGAAGTGCTCTGCCACTGACCTTTGCCACCGCTCTTGAATGTGGTCTCTGTGAGCAGGGAGTGGGTAGGCTGCCCAGCATGCGTGAAGCCCAGCACCTGGTCAAGGATCCACTGTGTCTCCTACCTGCCCATCCTTGGCCAGGAACACCATCAGGCAGGCTCCTATCTCACCAGAGCAGCACTCTTGCTTTGAGCTTGGGACTCCACCCACTGCAGCCGGCATATTGCAAGGAGACGTGACATCCCCTCCCAACCTCAGAGATTGTGGGAGGTACCAGTCCGATACACACTCCAAGTGAATGGGGTTCTTCTTACCTGACACTTAAGAAGTTTCAAAATACATGACAACTTTCTTTAAATATGTGTGTGTGTGCTTTTTTTTTTTTTTTAATGCATGCTTTATGAAATCTGAGCAAAAAGGATTAGCTTGGTTGGCATTTTGAGCCTCTTATCCCAGCGGGGTTTATTGAGAGCTCAGGTGAAAAGTTACACCTGCAAAAAGCCTGGTATAAACATTATATAAGGCTCCACCTGAGCTCAAGGGAAGCCTCCTGATTTTTTTCAAGGGAGATCATGAGACTTACATTGTGTTTATGGCAAAAATTTACAGCTTGCAGTGTCTGCCAAGTTATACTCTTCACGAGATGTTCTGGTACCCAAAAAAAAAAAAAAAAAAAGAAAATCAGCACAACCACATTCTTTAGCCATGGAATTCAGCTCAAGAAAAGTAAACCAAGATAGGCCTAAGGAGCAAACAGTCCTAGGTGACACAGTCGTCTCACTTGTCCAGCTGTCATTCCGGAAGTCCTGGTGTGAGGAACACGTGACCAGCACACTGCTGAATTTTAGGGACAGCAGCTTTGCAAAAATGCAAACCTCTATTCCTACAAGAGGGGACCATGAAAACCTACAAGGATTTCAACAGAGATCTGTGACCATCTGTCCCACACATATGACCCCACTGGCAATCTGCCTGGAAACTTCAGCTGTGTTCCTGTGAGGAACTTTTGGTTGGTGTCAAGTCAGTTGACGTATAGCACAAGAGATGCTGTTTCACATTATGCACCACAGACACGAACAAAGGGGTAAAAAGAGGATCAAGAGATGGAGGGAAGGGGGAGGCAGGGAGAGAAATGGGATGAAAAAGGGAGTGAGGATGTGTTGTGTACATCCTGCAACTCCCCACAAGGAATATAAACATCACGGACGTTCATGTGAACATCAGTGTATTGCTGCATACATGGACTGATAAAAACATATTGCCTGGCCTCTCTCATATGAGAAACCCAAGGTACAAAGAATTTAAAGAGCAGAATAAAAGAGAAAATGGGAAAGAGGGAGATAGATCTTTAGCAAACGGGAAGGGGATCTAGCGATGGAGGGGAAGGAGGAAAGAGAAGGGAAATAAAAAGAATTAAGACGTATGATGGACCTGGACCAGCTCCCCGCAGTGAGGGAGATTATTACGTATTGCAAACATGCACTGAAACAAAAGATGCTGTTTAGTTTTCATGTTGCTTCAAGCTGATGACTCTGAAGCAAGACTCACCTTCCATGGTGGGGTCGTGGGCTCTCCAGATTCCCAAATCATTTTTTGTTTTGTTTTGTTCTGTTTTTTGGGGAAATGAAGATTTGACTGATGAGAAGGAAGAGGCTTGCATCCCACACAGTGTAACAAGAGGGTGGTCAGTTGCATACCGCTCACAGCTTTCTGCCCGGCCCTCTGCCGCAGCGTCAGTGCCAGCCCTTCTTCCCTGATGAAGCTGCTTGAACGGCGCAAACAGAAACCCCAGCAGGTGCTTTGGGTGAGTTAGAGAAAGGCTCAGAGCGTTTTTGAAAACAGAGGGGAAATAGGTACCAGAGTTGCCCTGATTTTCACAGACCCCCCACTGGATTTCCTATTTTAATGACTCAAACGGTAAGCAAACTACTGTGGTCCTCAGCCAAAACTAACAAGCAAGCGGAGGAGGAAACTGGAATTGTTGTGTTAAAGATGACCACAAAAAGTCACCTCTGTGCTCCCCCGGAGAGGCCACAAGGCCACTGTTGACACAGACCAGACGTTCAGGAAATCCTTTGCAGAAGATCAGAGGACGCAGGGACAGAGTGCACAGCAGGCAGGAAACGGAGAGGCCACTTCCTGGAAGAATAGCGTGGGGTCAGGACGATGTCCTGCCCGGAATCTGGAATCTCCAGATTTCTTGTTCTACTGACATAAGCACATGTGCCAGAAAAACTCATCTGTCAAGATTGAAGGCCTAGGAAATTACAACAATGAAAGGTATATTTTGGGTTACCTCAACTCCACATTTTATCCAGAAAAAATAGAATACACGTTGATTATTCAATGAATTAAGTACTTAATATAAAGTTATCAGTGCTGGGCAACTTTGATCTCTAAGAACATTTCCCAAAATACATATTCAAAAGTCAACTATAAGGGCATCTGCTCAATGCTTTGCTAAAACTTAGCACATTATTACACGATGCTCAAAGGCAGAAACTCTGCACAGCTCACACAGTGCCCCCTTGGGCTGGCCACTCGCTGGACTTCTTCATTACCCAGTTTCTTCTCCAGAATGCCAGAGCCTCACAGCCTTTTAGCTGCCAAAGGCTGAGATGATAATAAGAGCCAGGCGTTCACCATGGGAGAAGAGAGATAGAATATGTTCTGTGGTGTTGGGTTGGAATTGGTGGTGGTGGAGAGACAGGAGAGAAGAGAGGAGAGGAAAGGAGAGAGAGACACAGAGAGACAAAGACAGACAGACAGACAGAAAGACAAGAGCCAAGTGCTGTGCCAGGAGGGTGCTACCTTATATAGCTTGATCCAGAAAGCTTCTCTGATCAACCAGACTTCTAAAATAGTAGCTAAGGCAGTAAGTAGTGGCCAGATTTAGGTCATATTTTAAAACTAGAGCCTTCCTGATTTTCTGAGTGATTGGAAGTGAAAAAGAGGGGAGTCAGAGCTTACTGAACATCCAAAGGATGGAGGGAGTCCTAAATTCAGGAGGAAAGCCGGGCTGGGAATCTAAACCAGAGCAGCACAAGCATATTGAGGGCCTAGGACTCAGAGCTACGTGCGTGGTGAGCACAGAAATGAGCTGCAGCTCAGAGCTAAACTCTGAGGCTCCTTTCCACTCAAAGGTTGGAATGAGGAGCAGGGATCCAGCAGGGAGATGATACTCAGGGTTACGGGGTGACTGAAAAATATGGTGAGAGTTTGAGTTTAAAAACTTATTACAGTAAGACATACTGTCAAGAATGATGGGCTAAGTGTGTTCAAAGCCAAGTGAGTATTTTGAAGGAGATTAATGACAATGTGTCTTTTACTGTAATACATTTAAAAATTTAAACACTGAAGTAGGGAGATAGATTTTTGTCAAGTGGGAGGGGATCAAGAAATGGAAGGAGGTGAGAAAAGGAACTAAGGTGTGTCATGTGCATGTGCCACCTCTACTTAAGGAATGTAAACATATGGACTGCAAACAGGACTAATAAGAAAGAATAAATTTTCAGTGTATCGTCCGGCTACACCAAGTTGATCAACTGTTTATTGCAACGTCTGTCAGTGAAAACATCACAGCGTGTCCTCACACTGTACTCACTGGATCTGGCACTGTGCAACTTCTGGCTCTGCCCCAAAGTCAAAACGACCATGAAAGGCAAACATTTTGATTCAGTCCAGGACACTGAGGCAGCTACAACCAGCACAACTAAAGACATGCATGAAAGAGGACTTGCAGAACTGCTTCAGAAAGTGACAAGAACAATGGGATAAGTGTGTTCAAAGCAAGGGAGAGTATTACAGAGGTTAACGACAATGTGTCTTTTACTATAACACAATTTTAAAATGTAAATGTTCACTGTGTTTTCTGATCACACCTCATACACTTTCACAGAAACGATGGAAGACAGTGCTTCAATGGGCTTTTGAATTAAGGCGATGGATGAATGAGTCCATTTTACTGCATTCTGTCCCTCAAACCTACATTGAAAACAGTTTTCTAAAGCCAAAAGCCCAAAAGTCAGAGATAACAGCAACACATTTTGGCATCTAGAAAGCAGCTGAATGACAAGAAAGTTAGAGACCAAAGCAACAGAAAGGAGCAAATTACAGAAACAGAAATTATTGAAAATGAAGACAATATTTTTAAAAATCATTAATATCTTCAGAGAGAGAAGGAAAGCTGTTGCACCCACAAAATAATAATAGCACAGTATAAGTCAAAGAGTACAATAGCCAAACAATCTGTAGAAGAGCTAAAAATATAAAATAAGAATGGAAAATTACTCACAAAACAATTACAATTTTTTTCTCAGACAGAAACAGCCCACCCAGTACCAGCGGAATGGATGAAAAACAAAGATGATTTTCATAATCCAAAAGAGTGACAACAAAGAGATTTCTCAAAGCTTTTATAGATAAAAAATAAATAGAAATATACAAGGAGCAGAAAATAGAATGGCATCAGACATAGCAGAGAAGACAGAAGGCACTAAAACTATGCCTTGAAAATTTTGAAGGAATCTTGTCAACCCAAACCAAATTAACCCATACTCAAACATTGTTTTTCAGGAAGCCCTTGGAGAATGCACTCCATCAGAAAGGAATAACAACCTATCAAAAAAGATAACAGATGACAGGGAAAACAGGAAACCCAACAAAGAGAAACAATGGTATCTCTAGGAAGATGGCTTCCTTAGTTCACTTAATTGTCACTGAGACAAAATTCCTGACACCCACAACCTAACGAAAGAGAGCTTTATATTGGTTCACAGCTTCAGTGGGTTCAGTCCATGGTCAGCTAACTCTAGGGCAGAAACAGCATGGTGGAAGGACACAGTGGAGGAATGCTTCTCATCCCTTGGTCACCACAAGCAGAGAGAGAGAGAGAGAGAGAGAGAGAGAGAGAGAGAAAAGAAGCACAAGGGAAAGAATACACCCTTCCTTCCGGGTCATGTCCCCAATGACCTACCTCCAACCAGGCCTCATCTCCTAATAGCACATTCACCTATGAACTCATCAGTGACAAATCCATTGGTGAGTTTAGCACCCAGTCACCTTCCAAACACATGAGACTCTTGGGAAGCGTTTGAGATCTAAACCACAACAGTGATGAAAAGAGATGGCAGAATGTTGCATTCCAAGCCTGGAAAACCACCAGTCAAGATTGGAACAGTGTGATTCAAGAGCTAGGCATGTCAAAAGATGTCATCATCATGCCCTCTAGTTTATAATATCTTAAGTAATGTGAAAATATGCAACAGACAGACTTAAAAGCTTTCAAAAAGTCTGGGTGACTGGCTAGATCTTCCAAGCTAAAGCAGATATTGTTAAAGCTGTAGTCTACGGTGGCGAGGCTAAGGAATTCACTTTACTCTATGTTTTGGTTCCACAATGGTGGTAACATGGTGGTGTGCTAGGCTCTGGGGCAGACAGAGGAAGGATTGGAAGAGTGATGAAAGGAAGGAGGTCAATTCCTTCTCATTCTTCACTGCCTTCAAGAGTCTCACTGAGATTCTCATTCCAATTCAGGTTCTTCCTGCAAAATAATCACACACAAGCTCAGACTTAACCTCTGAGGGAAAAAGGGATGAACCTGGATCTGGTTATCTTCCGCCATGGAAACAAGTGATTGAAGTCTAGACAAGTCACG